GAGAGAGAGAGAGAGAGAGAGAGAGAGAGAGAGAGAGAGAGAGAGAGAGCAGACTGAGAACTTCAAAATGCCCCCGAAGAAACCGGTTTCGACTGCAGAACATCGGATATTGCCAAGTCGGAAGTCAAATGCACAATGATAATTTAGGGGGAGGAGGATCCTACAAACACCTAAACCACGAGTAGAAATCTTCTCCCTGCTTCGATACTTCTCAACTTCTGACTACAGAAGAAATCATTTCCACGAGCGGCTCTTCCTCCACCTGACAACACTATTCATTATGCTCTCTCTCTCTCTCTCTCTCTCTCTCTCTCTCTCTGTGTGTGTGTGTGTGTGTGTGTGTGTGTGTGTCTGAGACTCTCTCAAAAACAAACTATCTGAAACCGTACCAGCAACCTGTGAAAAGTGGTTCAATGTCCTTAATACATCTAATAATGTGTATATACAGCTTTTCCCCCGTGATACGAATCCTGCGATTTTCAAGAGCCTCTGTTTAGCTCTCAGAGATCCGATCTACTGTGGTAATTGTGCACTTACTACATAATTTACCATTCACGCGTGAGTTCTACCATCCTCCTGCTGCGGGGTCACTACGTGTGTCCTCGCCTACATGCCTGCCGTGACTACTCGTTACCCTACCCTACCCTATCTGCAGGTCTTCTAGTTTTTTTTCGCTTCCCCACTTTGGAAGCGACTTCTAGAGTATGATTTGCGTAAATAAACACTCTTCTCTCGAATCTCGGCCGATCCACGGCAGTTACCCGAAGGTCTTGTCCGTCTTCACCACGATGCAGGCCCTAGGGTTCTTGTGACCGTTGTTGAAGTTTCCTCCGTCCTCGTACTGCGCCGCGCTGATCTGGACCTTGATGCACGCGTTGAGGAAGTCACTGGGATTGCCGACGTTGAACTCGCGAGAGGCAAGGTGCCTGCCATTGCCGTACAGCCGATGCTGGCACGCATTCGTGTTCCACGTTTGCCCCTGGAGAATCGCGCAGTTGGCCGAGTTCACGACCTTCACTGGGCGGGTGTCGTACCTGCACATCGGAGTCGAGGAGTCAACCACCACACATCCCACTCGTCATGAGCACCGGACATATCATCATGGCAACTCATATTATCATATCATATGCCTTGAATCACTCTGCACCTGACATATCATCATGACTCGGACCGGACGAGGACGCTGAAGGAAAGCCAGAGCGGAGCAACAGACGATCGACGGCAGAAAGAACGAGTCCCGGACAAGAGACCGCCAAAGGAATACCTTTCTCGACCTTAAATCAAGACTTAGTGTAGTATATCTGTTCCGGTCAGTTTAGAATTATCTGATCCGTGGTCCATCGGACCATGTAAAAAAAAAAAAAAAAAAAAAAAAAAAAAGACGGAAAGACGGGAGAACCAAGAAAGTCCAGAACGACCTTACTGCGCAGCAGGAATTTTCTAAATGCATCTGACAGCAATTACGGACACACGGGGATTGATCTGCATCCAATCACGATGAGAGATAAGTCCATCAATATCACCAGTGTGAGTATGTCCTAAGAGCGGAGCAGGGGCATTGCCACACCACTCCCGAAATGTGCAAAATGAGAATGAACTTCCTGCTAGAGCATGGCCAGATCCACCCGTCAAATTTCGAGAGTGGTGCCGCGCGGCCCCAACAGAGGAAAGGAACGAAAGAAAAAGCGATCACGATCAGAGCCGAGTCGGAGAAACCCCCCGTGTGAGTATGCCCCACGAGCAGACCAACAGAGGATGAACCAAAGCAAGAATCAACAGTCTTTGACAGAAACCAACGAGAAAACAAAAAAGGAAGAGACGAACAGGGTGAACGAAAGAAACGACCAGCGAGTTTGTATTGTTTGATTGATGGTGTTGAGGAGAGGGGATGCCTTACCCATCTCGGTGCAGAATATGGCCGCATTGGACGTAGATGGTATTGTCTCCCTTTCGGATGAGCTTGATCTTCGGCACGTTGTTCTGGTGACCATAAAAGTAGAAATCGCAGCCCTTCAGCGCCGTGTCGCAGGACGACGGACAACCGCCACAACCCGATGTCAGGTGGCGGAGACCATGGACGGATGGGATCGCGGCGCAGAGGGCAATGCAAACTAGCGCCATGGCCAGCAACACACTAGTGCTCGGGCGCGCCATCGTCTACCTACTTCGAGAGCGAGTGGGAGCGGGAGGCAGAGAGACGGCAGAGGATCGAGCTTGGGGGAGAGACGATTAAGGCAAACTCAAGATCGTGGAGGTGGCTCACAGGTCTGCTCCAGTCCTATGGACACGCACTCTTCCAATTCCACTCTACTGTAGTCTGATCCTCCGCACCGCCATTGATTTATATACGGTACACTGCGGAATCGAACGCAGTGAGATGCCATCCCTGCATCTCCGCCATCACCCGGCCACTGTAACTCAGCGGCCCTGGCCGCAGTACTCGCCAAAGCCTCACGTTCTTTTTTTTGCTTTTCGTTTTTGACATTCTGAACGTATAGGGACCGAATATTGTCCGGATACGTTACACATGTTGAAGTTCGGCAAAAGCGGAGCGGCGACGCCCTGGTTAGATGAATGTGGCCCTCACCGGACCACTCAGCAAATGAGAATGAATCTGCTCGACGAAGATGGAAACGTACGCTGCGAAAGTTTTTGTCTCTTGTGGATTTGGTGAGTGGTGCCGTTTGTTTGTTTTTTCTCCGAAAAAACTGCAAAATTCGTGTCAGCTGCTACTCGATGAGGGGTGGGGGACGATGAGAAAGGGAGGCGCAGCTATTGGCAAAATGCTCGGTCTTTGCGTTACCCGGACCCACCCCAAAAAAAAAAGAGTAGTCACAGGGGTCACAAGGGTCGTCAACGAGGTGGAACCTCGTCGGGCCCAGCAGCTGTTTCTTCCTTTAACCTCGTCGGGCCCAGCAGCTGTTTCTTCCTTTTCTTTTTTCTTGCCTTTTTCTTTTGGCCTGCAGCAACCATTTCTTGGAGTGGACATCTCTGTTGTTGCCCCAACCCCCCCCCCAAAAAAAAAAAAAGTCTCTGTTGTTTGCAGCAAATTCGCCACTGACAGCAGTACACGCGCTTATACTCCGCCACTTGGCAGCTGGTGGAGCCAGTTACATTGGGTTGGTGCAATTTGTTTTTTGTTTTTTTGTCATTTGAACTGCTGTGGTGGATTTTATAGCAGTGATCCCACCCCAAATGGTAGCTCCAAAAAAAAGTGAAAAAAGGCCGTTCCGCCTCGTTGACCCGTTCGACAACTGTGCATGACACGGTGACAGTACCGCTGAAAACTGAGTTGGCGCCAGATTGCTGGCCCACTGCCTATGGTGTAAACACGCTGTCTGGGCCTTCAAAGGATTTCCGCTTCACAATAGAAGGCATACATCCTTTTCTTTCATTGGCCCCGCAAGTCAAGCCGTTTTTGGCAGCTGAAAGGACGGACTGCTATTTTTCGGAAGACAGGAAATCAGGAAGCAATCCGTCAGAATTATCATCACATACTCACCCCGGATCATGTGCCATGGTGTCGCTCGGACGGTGTCCAAAGGAAAGACTCCTGAGGGGCGTAAGGCCTGAAGCCCCAGGAATGGAAGGGCCGTCGGACGAATCGGCACTGGCTCCCTGATTCGGAAGGGTGAAGAACGGGCCTCCCAGGGCCCCGTAACAGTTGGCCAGGCTTGGAATAAGAGGGAACCCCCCTTGGGGCCCTAAATGATCGAACGATCGAAGTACGGCTGCGTGTCCTGGATCAACAACTGAACTGGCCCGGTAGTTACCCGGGCGGTAAGCCTGGACACCTCCTTCAGCCAACTGCGGTAATATTTCTAAAGGAAAATTTGCCTTTTCGGGTATCTTTTCTTATGTTGGATTTTCACGTTGTTCCGCATCACCGCCGCCTGGAGCCGGGTCCCTGCAGAGACAACCGTGTGGTGAGACCTTCCGCAGTTCGTCGCTTTGCAACAAGCGAAAATCCGGGTGTAAGTTTTTGCAACAAGCGAGGTAAAACTCTATCATTAACCATAGCTGTGTTCCCCTTTTACTGTCTTAGAATAATCCTTTGTCTTTTTCCTCAGAACCTCTAGTATTCTCCGTACCAAAACCTCAGGTGGACGCTTTATCGACGATAAATCTCTACCATTAAACATAGCTTCATTCTCCTTTCTTACTGTTTTAGGACGATTCTTTACCTTTCCTTAGAATCTCTCTTATCTTTCAGAACCAAGCCTTCACCTAGTAGGAAAACCAACCCACTCCAGGAAAGATACGGAAACATTCGAGTATTGCCTTACATGAAAAATGAACCAGGAAGCTAGACGCAAGAACGTTGGAACTCTTGACGACGCGGAGACAACGGACAAAATCTCCTCCCCGTAAGTCACCATGCACTGAGGACGCAAGTTTAGCGCTAGCTTTTGTGTAGTTCACTCGGGCCATCGCTACTGGTTCTACCACCTCAAACCTATCGTGGTTAACCCCTAGTAGGAAACCATCCTCAGCGCAACCATCAGTAAAGCATCCGCCCTTGAAGCAGATCTCAGCCATAGCTATTCACGAGTCCTCACCCCTCTTAGTAACCTTGGCTCACTGTCTGTACGAGGGTAGGCAGGGTCATGACTCAGCATATAGAAACTTGTCAGGAGAACTTGGTTACAGAATGGAGGAGAAGATTAGAGAACCTAGGATGGGAGAAGGACTGCTTTGAAGAACTCACGACTACCGCCTTACCAAGAAACCTCAGAATCGATTGTCTCCACGCCCATTTTCGTAGAGAGTCGAGTACACTAGGAGTCTCACCGTCTGGCATACGTCTGCCATAGCCATCACTCAGCGCAGCTCATTCCTCACTAACCCGCTATCCTACGAACTTAACGCAAAAACTGACTTCGCCATTACGTTCGCCCTCCTTCAAACCCCCAATCTCGACTCCTCTYCCACCTAACCCCGCCGTGAATCGCGCGAGCCATCCGTTTCCTGTTGCGCCCTCGCTCGACTCCCCGCCATTTTTACTTCCGAAAGTACCTGGCACGTTAACCCGTTCAGGTTCGTTTTGTTTTCTCTGCTACCTGATCGTCGATGCCTCCTTCCCTCCGCTCCTAGCACTGCCGCGTTCCCATAGTAGCATCCTCCTCTCTCGATGTCTGCTCCGACCCGCTGTAGTTCCTTCCCCGTCTTCACCTCCGGGCGCACCTCGACGCGATCCCGGGTCAGGTTCGTTCATTGCCCCGGTTTCCTACTAGCTCGTCTTTGCCAACCTCTTCATTGCGCTCTCCTTTACTTAGCGCAGTCCGACGACCGGCGGGCCGTCWTGCTAGCGCTGYGCACCAGCCGTGCGCCAACCTAAACACTCCGATAGTGTTGGCTGACACCGACCGTCGGACGGTAGTCATGRAAATTGAAATCCGCCAAGCAGTGCGTAGCAACTCACCTGCCCATCTCATCTGAAGCATGCAACCTACGCTCCGCTGTCGGGGTGACTCCGATTCCTTTGACAAGTGGGCGGTCACCGGGCCTCTTGTGAAGCCGTAGCATCAACCTGGGCAAAAACGGGTCCCAGCGCAGACCTTGGCGGTAGTAGCAAATATTCAAATGGAGACTTTGAAGGCCTTCGCGTGAACAGTGGCCTGGGCTCTCCGGCCGCTGTCCTGGCGCCCCCTAGCCCCTGCTTAGGCATAGTTCACCGTCCATACGGGTCCGAGCAGGCTTGCTCACACTCAATCCTCTTGTCATAAGTCGCGGGCAATTAGGCTGGGCGCCCCTTTTGGCCCACGACACCCCGACTTCCTCCTCCACGTGGCCAGTCACCCATCAGCTCACACGCCCGCTGAGCTCCTCGGCCCTTGTTTTGAGACGGGTGCGATAGAAGAATTTCGTCGGCATACCGAACGCACAGAAACCCGTAGGCCAGTCAAAAGAGGGTGTGTGCTCAAGGTCCTCGACTGTCGGAATAACCACTCAATCCGGCACCACGTTTAAGCCAAATGAGCGTCGGGGCACATAAAAAATATATATTAATATTACGACGTAAAAATGATTCACTTAGAGAAAACGCCACCACCAATCGAACGTCGTCGATGGCAAAACCAAGGGGGATAGCCCCACGGCCCTCAACCCCATCGGCTTCCTCCTCGATGCTCCACTGCCGCTGCGTCGGCACTCGCCGGCCTCGATCCCCGAACCTTCGTAGTGTAAGTCCAATGTCGTAACCTATAGGGCTAAGCCCAAGCCTGAGACCCACGTCCGCAAAGTACCATACAAGACGGTGGGGCGCAGCGCTTTGGGCCAACAAACCGGCTGCGCGGCTCCCAGTGCCCGCGCCGGCTTGCTTAGACCATACCATAATTGCCCCGCGCGCCATCCTATGACATCCCGCTTACCGCACAAAATCGCGCCTTTATTGCCGATGCCGTCGTCGGGGTCGTTCTCCGCACGCGCGCTCGACTCGGTCAACTGTACCAATCAAAAGAAAATATCCTTAATTCCTGCTTAATCAAAAATAAATAAATAATAATATCACTAAGCAAAACGACCGAGGTCCGGGCCGACTTTACGATCAACAACAGAAAAGAATCACACGCGCCTTAAACCTGCGCGCCCACGCACTCGCTATTGTGATCAACCACCCAGTCAACACAATTACAAACGCAGCCGCGCTTAGCGCGGTATACTTCAACTTTAAACCAAACAGTTTTCTGTTAATTGCAAAAAAACAGGGCGGATACCCTTGTAAGGGTATTCGCATCGACAACTTACTGGACCATATTAAGCGACGTCCCCGTCGCTTCGCCAAATCAGAAGACTATAAATCCATCCACACTCCAAATTCTGACGAGACAGGAGCCAATCCGATTAGCCGACAAACACAGGGTAGAGGCCTCCATCAAACCATGCCTTCATAACTATACGCTGCCAGGTTTCTAACCTGGGCCTCACACCGTCCAGAAATTAGGACACTGGCAGCATAAGTTCCAAAGACCTTCCCAATCGTCCTCTCCTTGGTCCTAGACAGCCTTCGGCTTTTCGTTGGGTGTCCCCAGTCCTGGCAAAACTAGGGACGCGGGCCTTAAGTGAGACCTTTTGAAGGCACTCTCGCCTTCCTTCTCAAAATTTTCTCACAATCAAATATACGCAAGCATATATGTATACTTAATATTCGCTCAGCTCTTTCTGCAGTCTAGTACAGAAAGGCTAGGTCTCCACCTTGGCCTACCATAGCATGGCTGATCGGACCAGGACCACGTCCCACCGCATTGTTATTTAACGACAGTACCTTCGTTGGTTACTCAACGATAGGTTTCCTCCTGGTAAGCACTCAATCAGGATCCCCCCCCAAAAATTTTCAACCATCATTATCCAGCGGAGTAATTTCACTGGGGCGGGCAACCCCCCTTAAACTCTTACCCCGCGGTCCCGCAGCCAGGTTGCGCCGGCTAGCAGCCATCCAATGGGGTTACGCCCTAGAGGTACTAACTTCCCGCAGCCAGGTTGCGCCGGCTAGCAGCCATCCAATGGGGTTACGCCCTAGAGGTACTAACTTCTTTTCCGTTAGCTTGGCCTTTCTTCAATATGTCCCAGAACTAGTACAGGTGGTTAAACGGGGCGTCGCAAAACAAAATCACAGGCCCACTGCGCGATACACAGGGGTCCGAAAACATTTTTCAACCCTCCTTCAATAGGCATGGCATCCTTCGTACGCTTACAAACAAAATCACCGCTAAATCCACCAGGCCGTGACCCTGACTTGATCAGAGCCAGCAGCCACTCACCCTGAGACATCTCTCGCCCTGCACTCATTGCGACTTTTTCAAATATTCCAAACAAATAGTGGCCCTTTCCGTCACACTTTATCACCCATCAAACAATTCGTCATGCCATAAATCAATTTACTCACTTCTGAGGATGAGTCTTCCAATCAAAAATCACTCCCCTTTTCCAACAATCCAAAAGGGGCTCTCTTCATAAACAAAACATCCCCTCTTCCAAAAATCGCGAGGGGTCTCGCCATAAAACAATACATTCCCTCTTCCAGAAATCACGAGGGTCTCATCATAAACCAAACACCCCCTCTCTCAAAGTCACGAGGGGTTTCGTTACATCACAAAACATCATAAAACATCCCCCCCTTTTCCAAAATCTAAGGGGGTCCCATCATAAAACAAAACATCACTGAGAGATTTATGGGTCCTCATTACAACTTAGATAACTTTCACAGACGGACTGCGCTTCCTCCCCTTATACTCTGCCTTATCAGCTGCCGTGGGCAGGTCGCACAAGTATACCGAGGAGTAGACAGTTTTACTTACAATCATATTCACAATACCCAAGATACATAAAAGGTTTTTCACACATTGTCCACATAAACTCATCATACATCAGAGTACAACCACATATGTGAGAGAGACAAGTGATCGTCACATATAAGAATGGTCCCTGAAGGAAACCTCATCATAATATACACTAAGGGAATACAGTGTCTCACACAGAAAGTGCTTCCAAATCATAGCTTGCTTAACTCAAGCCACACCAAACCCACATTGACAACTACCCCTGGAATACATGTCAGATCTGTCTCTCAAAGGCCAGCGCGTAGGCCACCTAAATATGTACATGCCTCATCTAAACCATCCTGACCCTCAAAACCCCAACTCAGTAGAAACACTAGAGTTCAGATTTAGATTAACAGCAATCATCAAAATGTCTTCTAAGTCTAAGAGGGTATCACACAGAACCTAAGTTGATGCCTCACAAAATGCTCGCTCACTTGTATAGACAAAACCGGCCCTACCTTCTCAACTCTTCCTGGTTTTGCCTATATAACTGAGCCMTAAGTCCATCTGCGGACTTCTCTACTATCCTACCCTGTCTATCATACATTTTACCCCCTACCTCTGAAATCTTCCCTGCTGCCTTATCCTCAAGAAACTCGAGACAGTCCAAAGCCAGATGCACGTCCCTCTTGCAGTAAAAACATAGCTGATCTACCTTTCTCTTGAACTTCTGCTTCCTGGGCTGAGGAGGTGGCAATGAAGGAGATCCCACCAAGGTACCGACACCCCCCTGCTGCTCTGATCGAGGAGCTGCGGTACTAACGACTTCCTGCTGCTCTGTCCCCGGAACCGGTCCACCAGACCCAGATCCAGTAGCCCAAGATCCTACTCTGCCTCTCAAATCCTCTGTCGCTGGGACGTACTCGTACGTGTTCAACCTCTGAGGCCTCCTCTCGAGTGTTGCCCCTGGCACTGCCGTGGGCAGCTCCTCAATCTCCTCTGGTCCATACTCAGGTGTGCCTATCCTCTGGAGTCTGCCCTCGATGACACCCTCCTCCTCAATCTTCATCTCTCTCTCAAGAGGCTCCTCTATCCTCTGCTCAGGTGAAAACAAACTCMCCTCCTCCTGCATAKCATGCACCGCCTCAAGGAGCACGCCCATGGATTCCTCTACTGAGCCCTGAGCCGGCTCACTTCTAGATGGTGGCAGCCCCTCCTCTACTACCAAAGGTACGACTGGGCCCGCCGCTGCTACTGGCAGTGTCGCAAGCTCGGTAGGGGCTCTGAACTCGAACGCCTCTCTCTCTGCCTGTCTCTGTGCTCTCGCCTCCTCTGACTCCAGGATAACCCTCCCCATAGGTGGCTCCTGGCGAGGCTCTGTCGCAAATGGCTGTCCTGGCAATCCCTGTCCTGGCTGCCTCTGCTCTCCCTGCTGGCTGCTCTCTGGTCTGTCCACCTTTTCCTGGGTTTGCTGCCTCAGGCTCTCAATGATAGCTGCCTGGCTGGCCACCAAAGCCCTAAGTTCCTGAATTTCCATCTCCATAGCCTCCAGACGTACTCCATGGCTGRCTTCCTTCATTTTCTTCCCCGCCAGATCGCCCTCCAATAACAAGTGCCGGTCAAAAGTGGTCTTGGCCAGGAACTTGATTTTACGATCKTACCTTTCTTCCGCCTTCCTCGCCACCCCAAACCCGGCTCTGACTGGCGATGGAAGCTCCTCTCCTCTCTGCTCCCAAAAGTCCCTCCATATCTCAGGGATCTTTGGGGCCCTGGCTGGCACGCTGGGTGGCTGACCTGGGAGTGCTCCTGCTGCCTCCGATCTCTGCCTCTCCTGCTGCTGCTCCGGGAGCTCCCCCGCAGCCTCCAACCTCTGTCTCTCCTGCCATATCTCATCTATCCGTCTAGTTCTTCTTGCCCTCTTTTCTTCAGCCGTCTCTCCAGCTGGCGCCCTTTTCCTCGTGCGGAGGTCGACCCTCTCCGGACTTTCTGCTTCCATCTCCTTCTCGGGTTGGTACGGCTCCCGGCGCGGCTCAGCAGGTGCTGGCTCCTCCAGGTCTGGATACTCCAGGGCATAAGCTGCTAGGTGCCTATCAATCAGGATTAAGGCTTCCCTTCTTACAGCTGCCCTTTCTCTCCTCCTGCCAGCTCTCCCCTCTGGCGATGAAGCCCTCTCTGATGAAGGAAGTGGGGCCTCCTCTTTCCGCAATCTCTCCTCTGCCTGACAAACGCTCTCTGGTGCATCCCCGAGTCTCAAACCCATTGCTGGCACCTGTGGGGGTGTGTCCTCTCCAACCTCTATCACTTCCTTCCCTGCACGTCTCCCCATGTCGCCTAGCCTGCTCTCTTGCTGAGTACCCTGCGCCTCCTCTCGTGGCACCTCCTCTCGTGGTACCTCCTCACATGGCACCTCCCCTCGTGGCACCTCCTCTTGTGGTACCTCCTCTCGTGGCACCCCTTCTACTTGCTCTTCATGCTTCTCATCCTGAGGCGACGCTTTCCACTGAGAGATATCCAGATGCGTTTCCAACTCCCTCAACGGACCTTCAGACACTGGCGGCTCCTCCCGTGTGTGTGTTGGTGACCATCTCAACCCACCCTCAGTAAAACGATGGAACTCCACTGGTCCCAACCCACACTCAGGATATGCCCCTCGCTCTTCAACCTCTGGCTCCCGCTTCGGCTCCTCCTCTCTCCTGGCAAGGGCCTTCCGTCCTCCCCGAGACGGTCTCACCTCCCTGGGCTCAGGATCCCTCGACCTCTGACTCCTCTGACGTCTCTCGATTCTGGGCTGGGCGGGCTCTGGCCGTCGAAAGGCCTCTCTTAGATGTGCCCTGCAGCTTTCCCAGTCCCGGGCCATGTCATTTGATTTGGCTAGCCAGCGACCTTTCCGCCTTCCTGGTCCAAAGTGGTAGCGTCCTTGCCCACTCATCTCTCGGTATACCCTGCCCCTGCATGAACCACTCGAAAGCAGGGATGAAGTCTGCCACGTTTCCGATCTCTAGACGGATCAGCCTGCCATCTGGTCCCACAGGCGAGGGTCGCAGTTCCCGCATCCTCCACTCCACCTCTGATCTCGTCGTTGCCTCTCTACGGATCCACGCGACGGGCTCCTCGAATCTGCCGACTCCCCTCAGTCCCTCGATTGCTTGGGCCACGGTCCAGCCCATACGCCTCGCATGCTCCCTGAAACTGTCCAAGAATAGCTCGATGTCCCCATCATTGTAGACTGGAGTACTCTCTCGATGGCGAGGCCCATGCCGCTCGTATCCTCCTGATGCGCCCAACGGCCTCTGAGGCGGTCGTGTCCCCTTTTCCTCCTCTTGGCATGGTTGTCTTCGTAAAGTCAGACCTGCACAACAGGCGAAGGAGACAACAGACACACATTGGGGTAAGCAAGCAGGTGATAATCAGAGCAAGCTCAAACCAGACCACACTCATGCAGCATGCATCCTTCCTAACCTATACACCCTGTTACTTCTATTCTAAAGGCGATCAGGTCATCTCTCTTACCTCTTCTCTCGCCACAAATTTCTTCAGTCACGTTCCAGATACCCAATCCTTCCACTCAGTCCCATTTAACTCCTCGATCTGGTACGCTCCGAAGTCTCCGACCCGTGCGATTCGGTAGGGACCTAACCACCTCTTATCGAGCTTCCTGGACCACTGCTTCTCTAGCGATGTATCGTAGAGAAGCACGACATCCCCGACTGCCAAGGGTACTTTCCTCACTCGCGCAGACCGATCCCATCGAGCCTTATCGTCCATACGGCTTCTCGCCACCTGATCAGATGCCTCCTGGATCCTTTCTTCTATCGCCCCAACCTGTCGCGCCCGAATATCGAGCAACTCTTCAAATGACAGGTTRACTTYCAGATCCTGGCGCCTCCATGTCTTAAGAAAGCTTTCGATAGGGAAGGTGGCATGCCTTCCGTACCACAGCGTCGCAGGTGCGTACTTGGTGGATCTCTTTACTGTAATGTTCTCGACAAAGAAAGTCGCTCTTAGGTATCTTGGCCATTGATTAGGCCTACCTTCGGTCCATTTGGCCAGGAGATTCGTAATGGTACTATGTCCTCTCTCTACGGGAGCATTTGCCAGGGGGTGCGCGACCGTGGTATAGTTGGTTGCCACACCATACCTTGATAAAAGTTCTTTCACCTCCTGGTAGGTAAACTCTGATCCCCTATCCATTACGAATTCCCTGACGAAAGGATAACGCAGGTAGTACTCCTCGATGCAGCTCACCAGGACTAACCCGGTCTTTGTGCGAATAGCACGCCCGTCTACGAACCCAGACAGGTTATCGCGCGCATCGAAGATATAGTTATAGCCTTGATCCCTAAGTGGCATAAAAAGTAGATCGAGATGCACTACAACCCCCACCTCTCGCTCTAGCCTGGGATGCAGCGACTCTCCTTGCCTTAAACGGGATCTTTCCTAGCAAGGTACGCAAGATCGGCAGAACTTTCCGACCATATCCATCATCCCATCCCAGTAGTACAACTCACTTATCTTGGCATACGTGGCTTGTACCCCTCGATGTCCTCCTGCAATACCATCGTGAAGCGCTGCTACGACGTCGATCTGACGATTCCTACCGCAGACGACTCTCCTGAAATTCCCCAATTCCCTTCTCACGAAAAGGTGACCGTCTCGCACTAAGTAGCGCTGCAGCATCCTTTGAGCCCTATCGCTCGCATCTCTTAGCCGCATTTCACATGACAGAAGAAGCCCGAGCTCTAGGTAGATCCCGTCGTACTCCTCTGCACGAAAAACTTCCTTAATTTCCCCTTCCTCGAACTCGTCGTCCTGGCTCTCGGGTATTTCGTCCACATCCCCTGCCGGGTTCAACGAGCCTGACTGGTCTAGGCTTTCCTGCAATAACGTATTGACGAGGAGATACATTCCACCCATCAGGTCCTCATGTCGTTCTACCTGGCCAGGTCCTTCCTCAATTGTCCTCATATCCTCCACCAGGCTATGCGGGCTGGCCAACACTAATTCCATCATCCACTGAACATCCTTACCGCCCCAGGCATCCTCTTCTTTAAAGGGTTTGAGGACCAGCTCGGTCCTCCTTTCATATCCGCTCGGCGCTTGCCAAATAGGATAGCCTACACAGCTGGGCACTCGCGGCGACCACTTATTGATATGGAGATGAACATCTTCTTCCTGATCCAGAAATCCATCAACTGGGGGCGTATTCTCCACCGCCTCCCCTTCCTGCTTATCCCAGTTGATCCGACTCAGCCCGTCTGCCCGGTTCTTACTACTAGGAATCCGTTCTAATTCGAAATTGAACATCCAGATGTACGTCAGCCATCTGGCAATCGTCGGATCCGATGAAACGTAATTCCTTAGAGAGTAGGTCAGGGCGGTCGGATCCACTCTCAAAATAAATCTCCTGCCAAGGACATAGTTCCGGAAGATTCGCAGACAGTGGAGGACAGCAAGGGTCTCCCTCTTGAACTGAGAGTAGTTCCTCTCTGTCGTACTGAGAGTCCGGCTCTCAAATCGCAAGGGCCTTTCCTTTCCTTCCATGTCTGCCTGTATTAGAACTTCCCCTAAGGCGGTCGGTCCCGCATCCGTTTCGACAATGAAGGGTCGCGTCTCTGCGGCGTCATAATCTGGCGCTCCTAACACCAACCCTCCTTCTCGGAATTCCTCTTTCATTTTTGCCACCACCTCTTCTTGTTCCTCACCCCATACCCATTCCTGATCCTGACGGACTAACTTCCTCAGGTGTTCAGTCTTAGCGGCAAAGTTCTTGACGAAGGCCCTAAAAAATCCACACGTACCAAGGAAGCTTCTAACATTAGTTATTGAGTAGAACGGAACTGGCCACTCAGTAATCTTGTCCGTCTTCTTCACATCCGGCCTTCGGCCCTTCTTATTGCAGACGATCCCCAAGATAGTCGCTTCCCTCATGCAGTGTCTGGATTTGGCCCCGCTTGCCGTGAGGTCTTGCTCTTCGAGCAGGCTCAGGACCTTTTCGAGGTCCTGGATGTGTTTCCAGACAAAGCAAACTTACCCTTGGTGAGACTTCGTCGCTCTCTTTCATCGCCGACCCCTTCACTGCCAAATCGTCAATGTATGGCTGTGTGATATGGGGGCTGACGGACTGCATGGCCCGAATCATGGCCCAATGGACCATTGCTACTGCGTTGGTCCACCCTTGTGGGGCCACGTTCATGTGGACTAATCCTCGCGGCGTGTGCATAGCTGTCGCCGGCCTATCCGGCGGATAGACTGGGAACTGATCGTATCCTGAGTAAAGGTCTATAAGCGAAATTATAGGCCTTCCAGCACAGGATTCCGACAGCGCATTCTGCATTTGGCAGTCCTCCAGCATCTCGCACGGTTACTGCATTCAATCTTTGCAAATCCTGCACCCACCGCAACGTCCTGTTAGGCTTAATAAAGCAGAACCACGGGGACGCATACGTTCCACTTGAATAGTCGGCGACGTGAGTACGTATCTTGCCGTCGAGATAATCCACCACCTTCCTTTCCTCGTCAGGATTGGGATATCGCGCCCCTCTCATGTTCCAAGGCTCGTGTGGCACGGTGTGGATGCGGATCATAGGTATCTTATCTACATCCAGCCTGCCATGCTCCTCATCACTAAACGCGTAGGCACGATGTTTCCTCTTCATTAATTCCACCATCAGCGTTCGCTCCTGAGGCAGCAGGAAATCAGACTCCCCTATGATCAACTCCTTCTCGTCCCCTTCGTTGATACGACATAGCCCTGCTAAAGCACTTTCCCTCATTTGTCGAATCAACCATCGTTCCCTCTCGTAATATGCTTCCTCGTCCTCTGTAACGAGGACGGGTACCGGGCGGCACTTCTTATCTACCGTCTTGTACCGCCTTTGAGAACCCTGCTTGAGCCGTCCCCTAAAAAAGGCCGACTCACGGATTGTGTGTGCGCCGATGCGGGGTTCCCTCTACTGCCTAGGAGCCGATATACCAGTTCCAACCTTCCTGCCTCAGGGCATTCCAAAACTTGTTCCCTCAAGGCCTGGATGGCATCCGGATCTGCCATCTCATGCGCGGCTACCAGGTCCATGGCCTTCCCAACATCTTACAGGCTGAGGGAAAATACTTCCACCCTCTCTCCTGCTTCGGGCTCTGCCCAGAGCCTCCTGCGCTCCCCTTCCGACTCCTCGATTGTGAATGATCCTGGATTGGGCCGGTTCCTTATACTCCTTAGCCCGGTATTCCTGCAAGTAATTATTTCACAATTTCCGCAGGCAGGATCGCATAAGAGGAGGATCAACGTCCTATCATGTTTGTTGAACATCACGGTCTCTGTCCTGTTTAGGAATGACCTTCCCAGGAGGATTCCATGGTCCATGTCTGGCATTATGAAGAAACATGCCCTGACCTTCACCCTTCCAACCTCGACGAGCACATTCGAGGTTGTCCCGCAAAACATGGCCTTACAGCTGGCTCCATGCAGAATACCGCAGTTAGAACGGTCTATATCCAGTGCGAATCTGATCGCGTCTGCCTCCCGAATAATGTTCATCTCTGCCCCGGTGTCCACCATTGCTGCGCACTTGGAACCCTTCACCATCAAGTCTTCCGTATCGCAGGCTACGCACTTCCAGTCCATCTTCGTACCTGACTCTGCCTCCTTGGGCAAAATCGTACCAAGATGGACTTTGGGCACCAGGCGCCGTGATAACCTCCCCTTCAGTTCATCGCGGAGTCGCGGGGCTGACGCTAGGATTTCCTTCAGGGTCATGAGGTCATTATGCCCTTCCAGCAGCCGGTCAATCACCTTCTCTACATCAAATCCCTCTTCCAACCGGACCGCGTATTTCTTCTTTTTGGGCTGTCCGTCATGTATGACCGGTTCGGCCTCTCCCCTGGTTCCCTTTTTCGTTGCCCGCTGCTGCGCTCTCTGATCCTTTTCTCTGCGCAGCCTCTCGTCCTCTTCCTCTTCGTCACCGTCGTCCTCTACTTCCACAGCCTCTTTCCTTCTCCCTGGTTCGTGTTCCCCCCTTGGAGGCTCTTGGCTGGTACTGGCCTTGGCTTGATTCCTCATTCGCGCTGCCTGTGCCAGCCGGGCCTGCGGAGTGAGGGGTCTCCCCCTCATTCCTGGTTGAGGGCACGACCCCACCACATTTACTCCGGGTCGCCCAGGCGCTGACTCCGGGCCGGAGTCATAGAGGAATACTGTGGGGACATTAGACTTCCATCCTTTCACTCCTTCACAGAGGTCTACCAACTTCTGTTGGTACCTCCCCATCTTATCCAGCAAGTCCTCCATCTTCTCAAATAAGACAGACAGAGGCTCCGTTCTTTCCTCCTCATCCTCGTCATCTGACTCGATGATTATGGCCTCTTCCGTCTCACTTCCTCCTCGCAGCCCTTGAGTCACTTCCTTATCGCTCCCCACTTCTTCCACCCCATACGGTGGTTTCTCCTTTTCCTGCCATAGCGTGAACATGGCAGGGGGTGGTGGCCCAGTTGTCGCTCTTCGTTGGGCTTCAACCCTCACTCATCCAAGCCTTCTGTCTATGGTCTCCCCAAACTGATCGTAGATATTCCCATCCATAGTAGAGGAAATCAGTCCGCTTCTCTCGTCTTCCCGTCTTATATTACAGAACCTTATAGTGTGGCCCTGCTGGTCACAATGTTGACAGATGGCCGTCCTTCAGTCAAAGTGGGGTCTTCCATACCCCTGACTTCCCTGATCCCCCCGGCCTTGATAGCCCTGACCTTGGTACCCCTGGCCTTGACTCCCTTGGCCTTGGTACCCCTGGCCTTGACTCCCTTGGCCTTGGTACCCCTGGCCTTGACTCCCTTGGCCTTGGTACCCCTGGCCTTGGCCATTCCATTGCCTTCCTCTTCCGCCGCCATTCCTGTCTCGCCCCTTTCCTCCACCCGTCCCTTCACTGCCTTGATTGCCCTGCCCCTGGTTCCCACCTCCTACAACACTGCCCTGTGAACTGGGATCAGGTGACGGTGGCGGGGCCACACGTTGGGCCTGGGCCGCGGGGTAGATGGGTGGTGGCATACTCGTCTGCGGTCTGGCTACTGGCGGCGTGCTTCCCCATGGCACAATTGTGTTGATCACCGGCCAGGGCCACTGTCCATAGGAGGGCGCCCCACCTTGCGAGGGGCCCGTAGTAGATGATGGAGCCGCCACATTTAAAGGGGCTGCTGCCTGGGCCTGATGCGCCTGCGCTTTTCCTGATCCCTGTCCGCCCTGCGCCAAATTACGCACCTTGCGCTGGACCTTCGTCAGGTGCTGCGGCACGGGCTCTTCCTCTTCCCAGAGCTCCTCCTGACCAGCCTCCTCTATCACTGGCTCTTTTCCTTTTACTTTAACAGTCGTCACCACCCTCCTTTGCACCACTGGCTCTGTCGCATACCCTAGTTGTGCCAATACGTCTGTAACAATCCTTGTTACTCCTGGGGTCCCAGGAGCGGTCGCATCTCTTTCCTTTCTCTTCTGTCTTTGCAGGCGTACCTGACGTTGTTCTACCTGGTCCAAGCACCCAACTTCCACCCCTCTGTCAATGGTGGCCCAGGTGAGCTTAGTGCTACCTCCTTCATGTCTCGTCAATTCGACGGCCTCCGATGCTGTGAGTAGCCCCAGGAAGATGGCGCACTGTGCTTCCTCCGAAATCCCATGGACCTTCCGCRCCCTCTTCTTAAATTCTTGAACAAAGRCYCCTATAGTCGTAAAATCCTCTTTGTTCATYGCTTCAAGGWCYGTGGTAGTYAACAACCCRTYTCCCAGGCGGTATTTCCTHTGCATCCCCTCCTTGAACCTCTCCCAGCTACCTTGAGCCGCATCTATGACTTTCTTCACCTCCTGATGGTAGCTGTGGAGGACATACTGAAGGATGCGTTGAAACTTTACAACATCTGGCCGCCCGACCAAAGCTTGTTCCACCCGCTCTAGCCATTCTGAGACTCCCTCCCCACAGAAATGAAAAGTATCGACCTTTGGGATGTTGCTCGGGTTCCTTTCATGTCGGTCGATGGCCGCGATGAGGTCATCGAGTGTCAGACCCTTCTTGGAAACAACTGATGCGCCGCCAGTCTCTGGCATCTTAACAGCCTCTTCTTTTTAAGTTCCCTGGCAAAAGAAAACAAGCACATCCCCTTTATTCAACACTATACCTTAACCGGTGTATTCCATCCGTCCTACCTAACCCTTAGTACTTACTTTACCCAATGTTAACACGATCGTCCCTCATACTTCCTTTACTTGGGTAGGTAAATTTCCTCACCTACACTTAGTCATTCATATATTGCTTCATTACCTTCTCATCACTCCTTTATGCCTTTTCTTATTCACTTCTCATACCCGGATGTCGTTCCACCAGGGACAATGGTAGGCTTTCCGCTATCCCCAGCAACGGCGCCACCTGTCGGGCGCATCGGTCCGGCACCGCACGGGGGCAGCGCGGGACCCTCCCGGCCGCGTCACACAAGAGTTGGTTTTTAGAACCCTTCGTCGCAATATACATGGAGCTTCCACAAGCCGCTGCGGCCGGGTGCACTAGCCATACCTCTCGCGAGCCCCTACGACAGGATAGGGCCTACGCGAGGCACGACTTACCTACACCTTACGGGAGCTGTCACCTCCTTTCGGTGGGCGTATCCCCGCCGAGCTACCAGTCCACAGTACGAAAGCTAATCAGTTGCAATCGCAGAGGTGGACCAGCCGATGGCGTTTCTCGTTCGTTCTAGCATAGGAGGTACGGGCGGTAATACGCTTCTATCGGACCCGCACGCGAACCGACATCTTGGGGGGGCTGAGGTCCCAAGCGCGACTCATCGCCGGTCGACTAGGACACATCCCACACACCACGCGCACTCCACTTTACGAACACACATACACACAAAACAACATATATATAAAACGACACAATACCAACAACGAGACAACGCTCCTAGCCCCTCGGTAGCCAACCCATAACTTTCCAGTGCGGAAATCGGATAGGCGTCGCGCGCTGAACTTAGTATAAAACCGCGCGGACGCAGGGCATACTCATATCGACTTGCAATGCAGGCATACACAAGCAGTCGCAACGATGGCGTACTATGTAGTGCCCATAATCAAGCGGTCCCTTATGGATCAAAGTACCGCTTATGACACTCAAGTGTCAGACTTGAACTGTCGTGAGGGCCTAATCCTTCACGACATTGCACGGCTAAAGGAGAAGTCGTGCAGCCGCCACTGCACCTTAGGCTCTCGACCTGAGTGTTTTGGTAGGTAAATGAAATAGGCTCTTCGCGAGGGAAAACCCCTCCCCTGCAGAGCCTAGGGCTTGGGATGTCCTGGACAAGGACCTCGAATCCCGGCCCAGGACCAAACGTCCGACTAAAAAAATAATCAAAAAGCAAGAGACAAGAATAAAAGGAGAGACCTCCCCTAAGCCCCTCAGTCTCAGCTTTTGAGCGGGCTCTAATGTGGGGGCTCTTCAACCCATGCAGACATTCATCCCAAGTATACCCATGTATATATATATAAGGGTTAAATATGTGACGATCACTTCTCATGGTTTTGCTGGGGTCTCTCACAATAATACGTACACGTGTGATCGTAGGCAACCAAATCCAGAATCTGATTCACAGCACATACCTGCCATCACATCAACGAACCAAATCAACAGCCCACACACTACACGGAGTCTACCCCAACCACCTTCGACACTCATACCCCTCGCTTTAGCCATGCAAACCCCAACCTCCTGTCCAACCAACCTTAATTAAATACTCAACATCTTTGTTAAATGGCCATTCAATAAAAGTCCGGGTGAAACCTTAATAAAACAACGAAATCACCAGGGCTAAGCCTTTTAGGTTGAGTGTAGAGGGAGAGTTGAAATTGAGTCGTAGACCGACGAATCGGCAACCGATCTGTTATCAGTGATAACAGTAAGTGATCCTCAAGGGATCAAGCTGGATCTAGCCCTGAACTTGGATCAAATGATCAAAAGGACCTGTAGCACACGACAGACCAATCCCCACGCTAAGATCATAAGTGTGTGAAGAATACAACTCCATGATACATCCTCACTCAAAACTGCCTTATTAGCTGAACCTAAGTCTACTTTTAAGTCAGTGCTTAAGCTGAAGGTAGACCAACTGCAAAATCTCCCCTATTCTGGGTGGATCGCCTGAATCACTTATCAAAATATAATCTATCTCTTCTAAACTAAGGAAATTTTGACAGCGCTTCCCGTAGAAAAGTGTCTTTTCATAATTTATATAAGCCGAGATATGAGAGCATAAATAATCTCTAACTCTGGAAAGTCAAATTCTGTCTAACTCTCTGAATTAGTAAAAATTTTGGCAGTACTCCCTTTAGAAAGGGAGACTTCCCAAATTTATACTAAGTCAGATATGAAAGCAGAATTAATCTCTAATTATGGAAAGTCAAATTATGTCTAACTCTTTGAATTAGTAGAAATTTGGGCAGC